ATGGCAGTCACATACTAACATCACAACAGACATTTTTCTTCTTAATTACAAATCATTTTGATTTGTAATTGTGTGTGATTTGTAATTGATTTGTGTGCTCATCTGAAATCACTTTGTCATTAAGGAAAATCATGAAAATTGTCATTTCTAGAATAAGAGCAGTTTTGTGTGTGTTTATTTTTTAACATTAAACATATCACCTACCCAGCCTATTTTTCCTTTCGTTAATTAGCATTCTGTTTGTGGAATAATACATTATTTAAGACAACTTTGCAATTATTAGTAGCAGACTTTCACATTTCTTGTAAGGCAGGTCAATGTAATAATTTCTTATTGCAAATGAAAAATGCTAGGTTAGGCACCAGAATATCCAAAGTATTAATGACTATTGCGTATGTAAAATCACTTATAATATTGTAATATATTCTCTAGCACTTGGAAAGCTACTGCTATGTAGCAATCTCAGTTTCTGAGTTGAAAGTTATTTTGGCTCTTTAACACTTTGTGGCCATGAGAAGTCTCTGTAGGGACTGACTTTGCTGCCTGCAAAACCTAAATAGACTGTAGACCCTTGGGTAGTTGCTTAGCTGGTCAGCACAGGAATGGCAAAGGGTTTAAGGTGATGTAGTCTAAAAGGCATCAAGGTGGGGTGCTTGGATGGCCTGGTTGGTTAGGAATCTGACTCTTGGTTTCAGCTCAGGTCATGATCTTGGGGTCATGAGATTGAGCCCCACATGGGGCTCCATGATCTACAGGGAGTCTGCTTTTCTCCCTTTCCCTTTGCCGCTCCCCCTGCACTCTTTCTCTCTCTCTCTCTCAAATAAATAAATATATATATATATATATATATATATTTTTTAAAGCATCTGGTACAAGAAGAGACAAGCACAGACCTGCACTGATTAGAGCAGGGATTGATTGCATCAGAGATGACAGAGTTGGTAAATAGAAATAAAGTTGTTTCAGTCAGTATAACCAGAGAAAGTGTTTCAGATGAGTAGAAAAAGAGCAATTCTTTCTACAGACATCATGGCTGGAGTTTGGCCAAGTAAACTACACAAACCATCCAAATCCAGGTGGTCCGTGTTGCCCCCACATCCTACCCACCTCCCAAGGTAATTATATTACAATGTGAGTTGCCACAAATCAGAGAAGTAGTCTTTTGAAGTGGAGCAAAGTTTGGTCTCACTACCTCCTGCTTGGTGGGTGAGGTCTGCACGAGTATTTGGAGGAGTTTTAAAGTAATAATGAAGTAGGGGAAGAATTGGGGTTTTATGTGAAAGGTTATAGTGAGCTTGCAGCATTCATAGATGTCTTGGGTTTGTTGTGTAACTGACTGCCTCCACTCTGGTTACTATGATTCATCAGCAAAGTATCCTCAGTGCAAACCACCTCAGGTGTCCTTTCTGGTGACTTCTTTCCATGGAAGGAAAGCCAACAGGGACAGGTAGAGGTGAGTCAGCCACCTGGGACAAGGCTCAAGTCTTGCTCTACCCTGGACTTGCTGAGTGAATTCATAGAAACTATCCGGTGTATTTGGAGCTCAGTTTTTCAGTAAAATTGACGAATTAAACCAAATTAGCTTTAAAGCTCCCTTCTAGCTCTAAACAGTCAATAGGCATAGAGATATTCTGTGTTTGCTGTTCTTGGGGAGAAAACTACCTAAGTGGTCTGAAGCTGGTAAGTGCCTTGTGACTTACTTATGATTTATTTCTAGAGCAAATGTAGCCCAGAGGGTCTGAGATAGAGATAGGTTGACCCAAGAACATTGATTGAATGCCTAAATGAAGCATCTTAGACATGTCGCCTGGGACTGAAGAATTTATCTATGTGGATTAAGATCTACTGTCTGTCAAAGCACTAGGTGCTAAAGAGGCATGAGTGCTCTGACAAATGGCCTCACTCCCACCCTTGGGCTTCCTAATTATACCACGTATAGTCTCCAGAGAACCCCGCTCCCTCCAGCTCCTCTCTTGCACACCATGTCTCTCCTGACTTCCAAATCTTAGAAATACAATTATCCCTAATATCTAATAGTTAACTGATTGACAGTTCAGTATTTATCAAAGGGGACCTTGGGGGATTTAACCCCCTACTTCCCAGTCACTCTTATAGCTCTTGAAAAATAAGCCAGATAAACATAATGGTCTGTAAAACATTGTCCTTAATGCAGGACATGTTCCCAGTCTCTTTCCAACTGCACGGCCGATTTAAAGACAGACATTCGGGAGTTTCTGATGAGATTAGTGAAGGCCTGCTGTGGCCTTGGTGCTGCACTGGTAGACTAATTAGTCTCATTGGCACAGCTCAACATCAAGTACAAAAGTTATAGCAACAAGTGTCTGCTGGGTCTTGGAGCTGAGAGGTTTGGGGTATCTTCTCAGCATTGATCATCAGACCCCCAACATTTGTCTGGTGTTGCAGTAAGACAGCTATGACAAAGGAAAGGAGAAGCAGCAGTAACAGTTTTCCAGTCTTCTTGTTGGGGCTCACTCATGAATTCATGTATACTTAGTATCAGCTCACACGGGAATATGGGTCCCATGGGGACTGGGACCTTGTCTGTTTTATTCACTGCTCTGACTTCAGCACCTAACACAGTGCTGATATGTGGTAGATACTTACCACTGTAGGCTGAATGACCTATAATAAGACCACATAATATACAGTGGTTAAGAGCATCTGGAGCCATGCTGCCTGGGTCCCAATCTCAACTCTGCTCCTGACTAATTAAGAATGTGAGCAAGCGAGTAACCATTTCTGTGTTGCAGAATGCCCAATTTAAACTTGAGATGGTAATGACATATATCTCATAACATATATCTCAAAGTTATGGAGGTTAAAGGGATTGATGTATAACCAGTGCTGGGAATGCACTAAAAATGTTTATTAAATAAGTAGATTAATTAGTTTGCATGCCCTACTTCCTTTTCCCTCACTACTTAGTTTTTTTGGGGGAAAACTAACATTAGAGTTTGTGAGAACACATGCTGACAAATATGGGCCCAGACCCAAAGGCATTTCTGTCTTAAGACCTCTGGCTATAGAGCTTTCAATTCCTGTGACGCTCTGAAGCATCACTTTCCATCAATTTTGTTTAATGTTCTGCTTGACTTACCCTTCTTGATCGAGAACTCCTTGAAAGCAGACACCATCCAAGAAGGTCTGATTTAAAGTAGGAACTAATGGTTTTGGAATGAATGCATAATGTATTCCATGAATAGCAGTCTTGTGTGTCTTCTCTTGCTCACTCCTAGGGGAGGAATCACAGACCCCTCCCCCAACTCACAGGTGGTGGTTGTGGTGGAAGTGGGGGTGGGTGACCTTCTTCTTCTCTTTTTGTTTTCATCTTACTAAAGTATATCCCAGGTTCTTCTTTATCCACAATCCACCAATGTCATATGTACATCCCAGTCCCAGTCACTCCAAACCCCCATCTCACTGTCATTCTGGCCAACACAGTCTCTGTTTAATCACCACCTCTCCTCAGCCTCCCCAGGTAACCCCTCAATTGCCCCCAGTATCTGTTCTCTCTTCTTGTCCCTGCCTCCTCCACATGGCTTGTGATCTTTGACATTTACATTGACCATCTTGTTTGCCCCGTCTCTTATTTTAAGTCAGGTCAAATCCTATTAGTTAAATATATAAGAATTAGTTGCAAATAAACAATTCATTGCAAATAAAACATTATTTTTCATGGACTTTTGTTTTTCCCATTCATCTTCATAAGCACCTCAAGCTGCCCCATTGTTCATTAGGAATACTTCTTCCCCCATGGGTTACAACTTCTTTGAAAACAGTATTTTTTTTTTTTTTTTTTTTTTTTTTGCTCTTGTATTCATTTATGTTCAAAGTTCTGCTGGCCAGAGCTGTGATTTACTGCCATCTTTACCGGATTTAACTGACATCCATGTAAAGAGTCAAGAAGCAAAGTAGATGGTGTGATTCACCACCATCCTGTAACACTCATCTTTGTCTTTGAAGCACTTCTCATCTGCTTAACGGGGTGGACATGACATATGGGAAATATTTAGACAATAGTACAAGCCAGTTCAGTAGATAAAACCATCTGAACTTAAACCATTTGCTCACAAGCTCTGAATTGCTCTAAAACCACTTTAGTGTAGGCTCACTCGGCACCAACATGGTTACGCATTTGGCTCTTCTTTTATTATGTCATTTCTGTCTTAACTCCTATCCTGTTATAATAATGAGAATCAGCATCTCGTCTTCTCCTTCATCTGCGTATTTTCATGGCACCCAGAGTAGACCTGCATGGAGGAGGCACTTGGTGAGGGCCACTTGTGGCCGGGTGATCACTGCATCCTGAATGACCCAGTTCTGGGCGCACTCTGGGTGCAGGTGCATCGGGAAGGGCTGGCAGTCTCCTAGGTTGGCATCTCCCCCTGAATTCTCACTAATTCACAAAGCCTCACTAATGAAACTGACTTCAAGGCGCTAATTCTGCAGTCACACATCCCGATTTTTCTTCTTTTCTAAGAACCATTTTTCTTCTGTGTCTTTGAGTGCTCCACCCCTCAGGGGAGTAACAGCAGTAGATTGGTTATGCTAAACATCCCACCTCAGGGGTTTGATTTTGATTTTTTCGCAGCAACCTAGTCATTTATATAGTCAAGATAGACTCATCTTGAAACTTCACAAAGCCATTTAATTTTTTAAAATCATAACTCTGGATAATTTGTATCTGTATTTCCAGTCCTCTCTTGAATTCCCAGGGAACACTCTGTGAGGCAGGAAACTCAAGTGCATGCCCTTTGTTACTGTCATTTTTTTTTTAACCTTTTCTCACCCAAAATGCTAATAGTGCAGAGATAAACAACAAGTCTTAGAGCGTGTTTATGTTTTGTTTGTATATACTCTTTAACCAGAAAGCTGATGTGGGTAAGGCAGGCACATAAATAAAGACATTAATAATTCTAGGGGTTTCCAGAAAATGTGCCATAGACCATTATTTTATTTTATTTTTTTCTGTCCTTTAGTCTCTAGACCTGTGAAAAAGACTTCATGCTTGGGACCTGCCCCTTCAGCCTCTCAGCACTGCAATCTCCCTTGCTCTACAGACTGTGTTGTATCTTCCTGGTCAGCTTGGGGCCTGTGCGTCCATGAAAGCTGCCAAGATCCTCAGGGGAGAAAAGGTGAGTGTCTTGTTTGTGTCTGCTTCATTTACTTCCAGTGTACACACAGTTATTCTGGTAGCTAAGTAGCCGATTAAGCCGGCTGAAGACAGTATTTGTTTGTAAAATGTAGATAACCAATTCAAGCCTGAAAGCATTCTGTTAATAGGGAGGCCGCTGGGGACATGTGCACGGAGCAAGAATCTGACCGTGATTGACCTTCCAGTTAGGCTCATAGCTGGTGACGTGACTATTACTCAGATATGGTAGAACAGTATTTTATATGTGTAGTGGTTATACTGAGGAGATTAGACGTGATTTCTGTAATCGCATCAGGAAACAACTGTTTTGCCTGTCTATTTTATGTTCAGATCTCCACATGCTGAATTTGATGTTCTATTTCAGATTTTTATGAGGGGCATTTATGTATTGTTTATTTTTTGATGTCCTTGGGCTTAAAGTGGAGTCTTCAAACTTTATATGCTTGTTTAATTTTGTAGGCCTCTGTAGTCTTGTTTCCTTTCGTTTGCTCTTATATACACATATTCGTATTCAAAAGTTCACTTTTGGTGACTCCTTTCTTTCATTGACCCTTCGGTTTGTATTGATACTATGTTCCCTCGAGTAGCAATGCTAAAAAGAAATACTCCTTTTTCTAAGAGAAATGAGCTCCAAGGACATTCTAGAAATTAGGCTGTGTTTGCTGAGCACTAACCCTAGCTATCACATGAAAAAAAAGGATACATGGCCAAGGGCTTGATGCTACAAAGCTGGTGCTCTCAGCTTAATCCTGTGTCCATTTGGAAACCCACGGTTTAGCAATGCCCAGATTGCTCACGTCCAAGTTCACACACCCATGCTCTGGGCTTTTCTCTTTATTCTCACTTTTCATTCTAAGACAGAAGAGGATGTGTGTTGACTCTAGGTTGAGGAGGAAGAAGCTAATTTTAACTCTTTTATTAAATAATAGAAAACTGGATCTCAGTGGAACCTGGAGGTGTGCAGTGGAGAAGCCTGTGCTACTTTTTATTTAGACTTGTAGCTAGAATGTTCTCCAAGCCTCTTCAGTTTAAGAATTATTTTATTAAAGGGGTGCCTGGGTTTAGCCTCTGCCTTCAGCTCAGGTCATGGTCTCAGGGTCTGGGATTGAGCCCTGCATCGGGCTCTCTGCACAGCAGGGAGCCTGCTTTCCCCTCTTCTCTCTCTGCCTGCCTCTGTGCCTACTTGTGATCTCTGTCTGTCAAATAAATAAATAAAATCTTTTTAAAAAGTTTATAAGAACTATTTTATTAAAAATAATTTCCCATTTATGCTAACACCCACAAGTTGTTGTCTTGTGGTCTACATGTGTATAATTAAACTTTGTAAGTCTCCTATATTTGCATTTGAGACTCCCTGGGTGACTTACATGTTATTGGAACCAACCCTCCTACATTCACCCTGGGCCAGTCCATTTAGATTGTTGTCCAGAAACTCATGGATGATCGGACTCAGGCTCCCACAGCTACTTTGGCCATGTCTGTAGATTATAAAGGCAACTCTGCTGTGCTGAGTGCTGCCTTTATTTGCTTTCAAAGTTGTAGAATCTGACCAAGGCAAGTGGGCCTCATATTATTTTATAACTTTTTGTTTTAAGTGACAGAAACCCAATTCAAACTGGTTTAAGCCAAAAGAAGGAAATTTAGTAGCTTATGTGGCTAAAAACAGAAAGGAAGGTAGGACTGCAGCCAAAAATATCAAGAGGTGAACAGTATCACTCTTTCATTCTTTCTTTTTCTCCTTATAGACTTCTGTTTCTACAGTCTTCCATTCTTTTCTCTTCCCGTTTAAAGTCTTCTATTTCCCCATCTCTTAGTTCTACTTTTCTCTATATTAGGTTCGGTTTAAGGCAGGACTTCTCCATGGAGAAGAGAACAGCATTGATTTTCCTTCCTTCTTTCCTTCCTTCTGTCCTTCTGTCCTCTGTTGCACTTTTATTATGTATTCTTGTTGGTAGATTTAGTTTTAGTTAACAAATGCCTTTTAGTGATTATTCATGCCCTTGGGTGATGGATAACAAGGCAACAAAAAATTTCTGTAACTCTTTGAAACACTCTGATTTAAAATATCTACTTTTTAAAGTTTGTTAATAAAAAGTCCAGTATAGGACGTTCTGAATCACTTCAGTGATATAATTGTTTTCTGTTTCTTTGGAGGCAGTATATTTTAGCATTATTTTATCCAATTGACTTTTGACTTAAAACAAAACAAAACAAAAAATCAGGCCCCCCATCTCATCCTAATAATCCGATCTCAAGTACATAGAACTCCATTTGGGATTTCAGTAAGGTAGATTGTAAAAAGTCTTTCAATTTCATCTAAACTTCCAGCATGGCTTGGGAAGAATTGGAAATTGGAGAATGAATCTAAGAGATTTTCTGTTTTCTTGATCTTTAGATCCATTCTTTCCATACTTTAGGTCTCTAGATTTAATTATGTCATAAAATTGAGATGTACATTTTATGTGGAGGAATTTTTTTTCTCTAAAACATGGTAATAAAAACAATATAGTATATTATAAAGGATGACATATTATTTTTATGATTGGTCAATTAATTTTGTTCTGCTTTATTGAAATATAATGGACCTATAATATTGGGTAATTTTAAGGTATGTGATATACTGATTTTATATACATGTATATGGCAAAATGATTGCCACATAAGGTTATTAATACATCTATCCATTTTCACATAGTTACCTTTTTCCTGTGGTAAGAACTTTAAGATCTACTCTTTGTATCCCCATGTTTGTTGCAGTGTTATCCACCATACTAAAGATATGGAAATAACCTAATGACTACTGAGGCATAAATGGATAAAGGAAATATGCTATATACACGCCTGCGCGTATGCACGAGCACATGCAGCCACAGATACATCCACTCACTCATATATATATATATATATATATATATATATATATATATATATAGTGATATTATTTAGCCATAAAAAAGAAGGAAGCCCTGCCATTGTGACAACATGGATGAAACTTGAAGACATTATACAAAGTGAAATAAGTCAGAGAAAGACAAATATTATATGATCTCACATATATGTAGTAGATTCTAAAAAACCTGAAATTATAGTAACACAGGGTAGAGTGGTGGTTATAGGGGCTGGGTGGAGGGGAATATGGGGAAATGTTGATCACAGGATACAAACATTCAGTTATAAGGTTAGTAAGTTCTGAGGATCCAGTGTGCAGCATGATAAGTATCATCAACAATACTGTATTATATACTTGAAAGTTGCTAGGAGAGTAAATCTTTAATATTCTCAACACTAAAAGAAAAAGAGGTAATTTTGATTCTAGATCATAGATAAAGTAGAAAGAAGTGTCTTCCTTAATGCTTCCAAGAGGAGTCCTGGAACTGAATCTCATTGGCTGGTTTGTGTCATGTGATAACTTTGACCCAGTCACTCTGATTGGCCAAGTCCTAGGCATGTGCCCACCACTGGAGGGACAAAGTTGGCCAAGCCTCACCACTGAGAGTCAGGAAGGGGTGGCTCTCTCAAGGAAATATGAGTTGCTGATACTATAAGATGCTAGAAGTAATCCTGAGGTTAAACTTAATAGATGTTTATTAAGTACTTTGTCCCCTTTGTTCTGGGCCATAGAATTTCTACAGCAATCCAGAGAATGCTTTCTTCCTCATTCTGTGTTGTAATTTTTGTTACTTGAGCAAATTTTCTCAAAACCCTTTGTGAAAAGTGCTCTTTCAACTTTTCTTCCTTTAACATGTACTTTTCCTTTAACATGTAACATTGAACCAGTCTGTGGAACTCCGCTGGGAAACGTACAACATTCAGACCCCTCTGTTTGCCCCCTTGGCCCAGGATGCTTCCATGCCACACTTTTTCTTAGCTCCTATTCCTCTACTGTGTGGGTCAACTCTTGCAGATTCACTCTGGTCCATCCATTTATTAGATATCATCTACTGTGGGGTGAATTGTGTCCTTCAAAAAAAAAAGGAAATCTTCATTCCTAACACCTTGTGTATGTGAATATGACCTTATTTGGAAATAGAGCTATTGCATATAGACTCAAGTTAAGATGATGCCATACTGGATTAGGATAGGCCTTATTCTAATGACTGATACAGAAAGAGGGAAATTTGAACACAGAGATACTCAGAGAAGAATGCTATGTGGAGGCAGACATTAGAGTGATATGTGTATAAGCCAAGGAATGCTAAGGATTGCCAGCAACCACCAGAAGCTAGGGAGAGACATGGGAGAAGTCTTTCCCTGGAACATTCAGAGGGAATATGGCTCTACTGACACTTCATTGGGCTTCTAGCCTCCAGAACTGTGAGACAAAAAATTTCTGTTCTTTTACATCACCCAGTGTGTTATTTTCTTTTGGCAACCCCAAGATACTAATATACTGCCCAACTTTGTATCAGCATTTAGGCTCAGCAAAGATGTGACATTTCATAATATTTCAAAATTAAAGTGTAGAGAAGTGAACCCATTTGTCCTAAATCCCACAGGGATTTAATAATGGCCCAGCCAGAGCCAAGAACCTGGGTTCCTGTCTCCCTAGTCTAGTGTTCCTTTAAATACTGGGCTTCCTTAGTGATTCCCTCCATAGCCTAAGGAAACTTGGATCAAGGCAGAAATCCACTGTTAAGCTTAGCCGAGAAGTGCTCTACCCACATGCTCCCCATTGGCCAGTGAGACCCATTAGTCTTGAGAGCCAATAACTGAGCCACTGTAGGAGATAAAGCTTGCAGCCTTGGATTTATCTTAGCTCCAGCGTGTCACCTTTGAGACTAGAGGGAAAGTAGACTGCAGTTGTGTGAGAAAGGAAAGGTGTTCCAAGAATAGCTTGAGAATAGCAGATAATTGGAATGTGTGTTTTTTGCCTCAATTAGTTTTTCCAAGGGTGGTTCAGCCTTTGGAGCTCAAGGAAAGGGTGGAGACAATAGAACCTCTCACCTGAAGGTCATAGCGTCTCCTCAGCCACCTGAAGAG